TGTTTAAATTTCAATTTACGGCTTTGTGGGGTTTATGCTGAGATGTAAAAGGAAGTAGTCTTTATTTTGGTTCTCACAATACAAGCTTATGCTCTTCTACTGTCGATTGTCTATTTCTTCCTTGCGTACTTATTGGAGTTTTCTCTTTTTATTTTTAAAATCTTACACTTTGCACGTCCACCAATTATTATACTGAAATGTAATAGAAGCATTTTTATTTATATATCATTATACCCTGCTTTCTGGGATTTATAGTGGTAAATTGAGAATTTTAACTATCAATAGTCTTAAAGATTGAGATTTTCAGTATGGAATCTTTGGATCTTGATTGTTTATGAAATAATTTACTCATTTTTATTTCATATTCAAAATCTAACTCAACGTTAACTCAACTAGTACGTATTCCGTGCAATGCACGGGACAGAGATATTAAATGAGTTATTTTCACAGTCTTGTTCGTTTAAGTGTAAAAAATAATATGGTTATTATCTATTTTCTACCTCTTTTAATCAACGTTAAGTCTAAAAAACAAAAGGGCTTATTATAAGTTTTTTTCCACATCTTTTAACCAGCGTTGTTTTTTTAGCCAGGACATTAAATATGAGCATGTTACGGCTATCTTGTAAAATGATTAATATATTATCTTACTAAAACATTTATGCTAATAAAAATTTAATTTTAGCATATAAATTTATCCCTTCATATAAGAGAAAGTAACAGTTTTATTTATTGTTGTTCACCATATAATATTTAATTATTATTTTATTATATAATAAAAAGGAATACTATTAAATAGTGTAGTAGAATTGTTATAAATTATATGAATTTTTTTTTTTTTTTTTACAATATGGATTAATATCTTTTTATGATTTGATAATATAACTGTAATATATTCTTAATGATATAATAATATGAGATACAGATTTACATAATACTATGGATTTATTCCTTAATGTTAAGATATTGAATTAGGTAATATATGATTCACTAATTTGTAATTTATCTCTTTTTATATTGAAAATAATCATGCGATTGAGTAGAGATAACAATTATTTATAGATTCTTTCATTTAAGGAATAATTTTTAAATTGGTCCAAGTGTTGAATGCAGCCCGATTTTCTTGTAATTAAAGTGAGAAGAGATTTTGAATTTCAAATTTTCACTTCAAAACCACACGTAAATTTGGATGCAGATTATATTAAAAATAAAATGAGAAGAATTTTTTAAAAATGAATTCAACAAAACCCATAATTTTAAGGGCATTTAATGCTACCTTATTTTATGATTTAAAATATCTAAGACTTTCTAAATATGGTGTGCAATTAATTATGAGTTGACTTTTCTTCCTACTAATTCTATTAAATAGGATGACTTTTTATATAAGTATAGATTCCACTATCTTTAATATTATTTATAAAATTAAATAACACAAATAAATCATTCTTACACATCACATCAACTTTAATTTATTATTCATCCACTCACATAATATTAACTACCTATCATTTCCAATTATTTATCTCCTACTTTTACATCAAATCAATTTTAATCATTTGATTTTAAATACTATTTTAATTCATTTTTAAAATTTCGCTAATAACTATTATACCACCTTTTTCAAAAGTAACTATGGTTAACTAAAATAACTTATTTTGAACAAATTATTTTATAAACAATCAAGCTCTAATTTATTATCATCAGTTCATAAACTCCTCTCCTTTTGTGCTTTGATCCTAGCTTACCATATTCATGTCCACTGAAGTCAAACATAAACCTCTTTCTCTTCCCCCTATTTGTTCAACAAGTCTTTTTCCATCGTCAATTTCTTACAATTCCCCTTGAATCTTTTGTCTTCCCAACCCTTTACAGAAACTCGTAAAAAAAAATAAATAAATAAAAATAAAAAATAAAAAATAAAAAATGACTTATTACAGTGGCTTTATAGTATGAAAAGCTGGTGAATTTGTGCCATTATTGTGGAACCATAGGTCACTTGGATAGGTCTTGTGTCAAGAGGATGAATGACATAGAGCAGAATGTTTTGGAGGAAGGACAATATGGTGACTGGATGATGGTCCCAGAGGGAAACTCTGGCCCTAGATCGGTTTCTATTAATAGTCCTATTAGTACCTCCAATGAGTCCCCATCTCAAAATTTGAACCCTCATCACGGAAATTTGAATAATACTCACACAAATCTCTCTTCAGAAAGCAGAAACCATAAGCAATTAGAGGAAGAGGTAAATCATTTTGGAGAAAAGAGCAAAGAAGGGAACCAATTGTTTTGTGAACAGGCTCAAGCAGACTCTGCTTGAGCTTTAGCTTCAGTCAACAATGGAACATAGACAAAAGTGCAGAACTTGAGTATGGTATTGGAAAACAGCCACAAGAAGGAATTGGGCAGCATCCCCGAAGGAAATTTCTCTCTGTTAGAAGACATGGTAGTTGAAGAGGCTAAGGAGTTTCAAAAAGGTGAAATGGGCCAACAGAAAAGAATTGGTAATAGTAAGGAGATCACTTTATCAAAAAGGAAAGGATGGACACGATTGTTATGGCAAGAAACAAGAATGGAAAGGGATATTTCACTTGAAAACTCCACTAGTCCAACTGGTACCTAAAAAAGAAAGATGAGACCTGCAGTGGATTTAGAAAGAGAAGAGAATGACCCTTTGGTAGCAGATTTCAAGAGTTACAAGAAAGTTAAAAACTAAAATAGTGAGGTAGAGGAAGCCAACCTAAATTGGCCCCAAGTTTCCAAATGAAGATGATTTTGTGGAACTGCAGAGGGCTGGGTTGACCCTCTACAGTTGCCCAGATCAAGGATTCTTCTTGAATCCCACCACCCTAGTTTTATTTTATTTCTGAAACAAAAAAAGAGTTTGTTAGAACAGTGTGTAACAAAATTGGTTTCAAAGACAAGTGGTTTGCTGTGGACCCTCAAGGGTTAAGTGGGGGGTTTGCTTCTTTTATGAAGTAAAGACGTGAAATTTAAGCATATTCTCGAGCAACAATTTTGCCTTGAGGTGGAAGTGGAAGGTGTTGATGGGGTGGATTCCTTTTGGCTGATCTTTGTCTACTCTAGCACAGATGACAGAGTTAGGGAGCTTCAATGGAATTTTCTGGAGAATGCTAAGGCTAATTGGGGGAATTGCTGGCTAGTGGTTGGTGACTGGAACGAGATCTGTGATGGAAGTGAAAAAAGAGGTGGCAGAAGGAAACAGGAAACTGATTTTAGAGGATTTAATGGATTTATTTCCAATATGCAAATGCAAGAGGTGAAAATGTTAGGGCACCAATTCACTTGGGGCAAAAATAGCGAAGGAGAGGGTTCATTGAGGAGGAGATAGACAGGATATTCGGCTCCCTTCATTGGCTTGCAGCTCATCAGAGTTCCCAAGTTGAAACTTTCTACAAGAGTGCCTCTGACCATAGAATGTTAATTCTCTCCACTGAGGGCTCAGTTGACTTTGACAAAAAGAAGAGACGATGTTTCTTTGATAGACGGTGGTTAAGAATGGCCGGGGTGAAAGATACAATAATGCAAGCTTGGAGTACTCATAAGGGTGGGACTCCAATGTTTCAGAGTCTCAGAGAAAATCAAAGTGACTAGGATAGCTTTATTGAGGTGGAGCAAATTCTTTAAAATAGAAAGAGAGAAAGCGAAAGAAGAGGTTACTGCAAAGCTAGAAAGAATTAGCAAGCAAGGGGACGAAAGAGACTGGAAAGAATGGCAATCTTTGAAAAGAGACCTGAATAGGCTTATTAAGGATGAAAAGGACTTTTGGCACCAGAAAGCAAGAACTAATTGGCTTAAAAAGAGTGATTCTAACTCTAAATATTTTCATGCCCTGGTTTCTGAGAGGTATTAGATAGGGGGATCCTCTGTCCCCCTATCTTTTCATCCTCGATTCTGAGATCTTCTCAAGGTTACTAAAATTTGAGTCTGATATTGGTAACTTTGCTAGGCTGTAAATTTCTAGAGCCGGTCCCTCTATCCCTCACTTATTTTTTGTTGATGATGCTCTGGTCTGTTGTACTGCTGATAGCCATCATGTGGCTGTGTTATTATCTGTTCTGGAGAAATATAGAAGATATACTGGGCAGAAAGTAAATTTGAATAAATCCTCTATTTTCTCTAGTAGAAGCTCTCCTGATTCTTTAAAAACAGATATCTGTTTGAGACTTCAGGGAATTCAGATTAAAAATCCCACAAGATATTTAGGTCTTCCTTTGGGAATAGGAAGATCCAAAAAAGAGGTTTTTTGATTTTGTTATTATCGCTGTGAGAAACATCTTAGTGAATTGGAAGAATAACTAGTATTCGACCTGTGCATTTGCACAAATATAAATAAATTATTGTGAGTCTGTATGCATATAATGATTAATTATTTTTCTTTCACTTTTTTGCAGACCAAATTTACAATTAAAAGAGTTGGAATATTTTTTTAAATTGCGTTTATCTGATTGGATGTAATGTATATTTTGGTACATCTTTTATTTGTGAATTATTTATTATTTATTTAGGAATTTAAAATATATTTTTTATTTTAAAAAAAAAATGTAACAACAATAATAACATCTAATCACATTATACCGTCAACACATTATATGGTCAACTGTCATTAATCAAAAGTTTAAAATGATTTTTTTAATTTTGAAGTGATGAGTATTAATTATTTAATGATTAAATGAAAGATTAAATACATCAAAATGTAACGGTTTTTGGAGGAAAAATTGTTAAATTACCACATAGGTAAAATTAAATAGGTTTTATTAAATGTTATTAGCTAGTAATTATATATATATATAGATTTCCTCTCTTCTGATGGGAAGGAAGTCTTGTTGAAAGCTGTATTAGATGCCTTGCCAGTGTTCTCTATGTTTTGCTTCTGTTTGC